GAGACAGGTAGGCTGGGCTGTGCACGTCTATCCTGCCATGTGGGGGTCACACCCTCCTTGTGCCTGGTGAGAGGCTGGGTGGAAGGCTGCAGAGACCATGGAGGCATGTGACCCTGGAGCCTGGCACAGGGGTACTCTGTCCGTGTCTCAGCTCTGCCCAGGGCAGGAGTCTGCAACCTGCCCTGCTCACCCAGAGCTCTCCTGGCCCACAGAGTCCCTGGCAGGCTTCCTGCTCTCCGTCAATGCCACGGCCAGCATCAGCCGCCTGCGGATCCCCTACCCACAGACAGGCAGCTGGTACCTGAGCCTGCGCTCACTCTGCGCCACGGAGCATGGGTAAGAGCCCAGCATGTCCCCTCCCTGTGCCCCCAGAGAGGATGTCCCCACCATGGCCTGTGTCTGTGTGTGCTGTGGCTCCACGGGTGTGCCTCTCCCGTGTGCTGCATGTCTCCACTCACGTGTGTGCACGTGGCTTTGCAGCCTGTGTGTCACTGTGTGAGTGCTGTGTGGGCACGGATGGCTCTATCTCACGTCTGCCTGACCATCTGTGGGTCCCTGCGGCTCTTCCCTCTGTCTCGCGGTTAGGAAGTGCCTGTCAGCTTGCGAATACCGGGCATCTGTCAGTGCCTGCCTGTCTCCACGGCAGTGCCCATCTGTAGCCGCGCCTGGGAGGAGACTGGGTGAGGATGGGGCTCGGCTGTGCATGTGAGAGGGCGGCTCTGGTCAGGCTGGGGCTCTGCTCAGCATCTCCAGGGACTGTTTCTGTGCCTGCGGCTCCATTCCCGGTCTCTGTGTCTGTGGATGAAAGAGGCTGGTGTGTGTGTGTGTGTGTATGTGTCTGTAATGCAAGGGTGCATGTGGAATTCTGTGCCACAAGGTTGGTGCTGCACACATTTGGTGCACACATGCAGACAGCTCTCTGTGTGTTTTTGGGTTTGTGCAAGCAGTCAGGCGTTTGTTTAGGCAGTCAGGGCTGTGTGTGTTGTGTGTGCACCTGTGTGCAGATTTGACAGTGTGACCTCACACAGGCACAGCAGACATACGTGCAGCCAGCACAGTGTGCATCTTGGTGTATGTTGGTGTGCTTGCATGTGCACAGGCAGCAGTCGGTGCACTGTCAGCATGTGGGGCTGTCTGTTCTCCTGGTGTGCTGGAGCTGAGGAGGTGCTGGCTGTGCCCAGAGCCTTGTGTGTGGGTGGCGCAGGGCAGCAGGAACGTTGTGCCTGCTCTGACTCCTCTGCTGCATTTCTAGTTCACACTGAATTGCCAGTTGCAGTCAGTCCTTTCTCAACAGGGTCACACACAGGCATTGCAGGGCACAGTGTTTGCACAGCAAAACCTAGATGAAATAAGAGCTAGCTGAGTGTGTTGCTAAAGGCAAAGGGGGTCTAAGTGTGGCCCCGTTCCTCCTGCTCACCCAGGCTGGCACAGACAATTGCAGCACACAGGATCCTTGGGGAACAGCCCTCAGCTCATTTCTCCACTCATCCAGTCCCTGTGTCTCCCATCACCTACCAAGTCTGGGTGCAGTGGGTGCCTCTGATAGAGGCCAGAGCTGCTCAAGGATGCAGGGCAAGGGCTGACCCCCTTCTCCTGCACTGCAGGTTTGAGCCCTGCACCAATGTGACAGCTGAGGTGTACCTGCGTGCCTACCTCTCACCCTGCATCAACGACTGTGGCATCTACGGCCAGTGCAAGCTGCTGCGTACCAACAACTACCTGTATGCTGCCTGCGAGTGCAAAGCTGGTGAGAGCTGCCCTGAGCACCCATGGTGCCCACTGTACCCAAGGACCTCTTCTGGGGGTTGTGCATCCCATTAATCCCCTCATGCCAGGTCTCTGCAGGGTGCTGGAAAGGGGGTTCCCTGCTCCCTCCCCAGTCCCTGCAAGTGCTGCAGGGGTGACAATGGCTCTTCCTGGTCACAGGCTGGAATGGTTGGGGCTGCACAGA